AGCCCAGGCTGGTCTCATATTCAAGGTGATCCTCCTGCCTCAGCCTCCCAGAGTGCTGGGATAACAGGCCTGCACCACTACGCCCAGCAACAAAGGCGCCAGGAGCAGGCTCCTTACAGCACCAAGGATTCCTGTCGTGGAGAGCAGCGTCCGTCGCTAAGTGACATCCAGGCCCTCCCAGGGCGGAGGGGGGGGGGCAGGCACGGATGGTGACAGAAGATGCAGTGTGCGGCCCAGAAGCACGGAAAATCCCCACTGTCCATGAGTGGGCAGGGCTAAGGCTGGTGCACAGACAGCACCTTCTGCCCCTCTCCACGGCCTTACATTTCTAAATGGGGAAGCCAAAGCCGCCACAGGACACAAGTCTGTCTGAGCACCGCGGCCAGGGGAGCCCAGGGGCCCTGCTTTCCTGCTGGGTCTCCAAGGGCGCGAACCAAAGGCGACAAATGACAGGATTTCCCGAGCAGTCGCCCCTCCCCACGGTGCAGGCCCGCCCACCTCACCTTCTCGCTGCGCAGCTACACGCCACCCCTCGCGGTTCCAGGTCCGACTCAGGGCAGGTTCGCAGGTTCCGCGGATCCCAAGAGTCCTCCTGCGGCTCCGCCCATCTCCAGCTCCTCGCGCTCGGATTGGCTGAGTGCGCGCGGCCCGCCCACCGCCCCGGCCCCGCCCACCGCCCCGCGCCCGCGGCCTGGCACGCCGGGGCCTCTCTCGCTGGCCTCTCAGCCCTGGGTTCCTGATCTGGTCTCGCCCAACTTGACCCACGCCCTGAGGGGACGGCCTGGCCTCCTCCTCGGGCCCCTGCACGCCCGCCGGCCCTCCGCCAGCCCTGTCTCCCGGCCGCGGCAGCCGCGTGCTGCAGGCCACAGCCTGACGCGGGGCGGGAGGACGCCTAAGGTCATCTTGCGACGTGGGGGGCCGGACGCCAGGCCTTCCTAAACTCAGGCTCTCCCCTCAGTCCCGCCGGCGCCGCGACGACCGGAAGCCGCCGACGCCTCCGGGCTGACTTCCGGTGGCGGGCCGCTGAGGGGCGGGGCG